TATCATTTCTTCCAAATGGTTGAAAAAGCATAGCGATACTTGGATTTCCAGTTTTATCACTTTGAAATGAGAATGGAATTGTGTATTCGCTGCATGATGAATCAATTGCAGACTGTTGCTGACCACTGACTGCTTCCATCAAAAACAGCATCACTGGGAGTAACATTTTGTTGGGAATTAAAAATCCCTGTAAGTATTTCCTAACACGACAGGTGCATATTTCAAATAATCATTTTATAATACACTTCCATATCTTCAGAGGTACAATATGTAAAGTTATGATGCATAAAATAATGCAATTTAAGGTGTTAATTATCGTTTCTTTTGAAAAGAAATGAAAAGTAGATGCTATAGCGTAAGATAACAGATATGGCCATGAGATGTAGAAGGAGTTATAGAATTTATTCGAAGTCTTATCAAATCATTCTTAGATATTTCAAAATAAAGACCAGAACTTGAATTCCCAACAATAAAGTATATTTACTAAAAGGTGACAATTTCAGCGATAAATGTATCTTAAAGAAGGAAGGAATTGCTGACTGTAAGAAGAACGAGATGTATCCAGATGACAACTTTATAGTAGCCCTAATGAGGGCGATGCTCATCCTTTCATGGATCACCGATTGCCCCATATTTTTCATGGCTAATCGGCCAGCGACATCCTCCAACAACACACCAAAATATTTCAACTGTATGTTACCGCCATACAGCAACGCAATATTTATTTGTCAGCAAGTTGTGTTATTATGAGCAAATATCATTGTACAATCTGGAAACATTGACAAAAAAAAAGAAAAACCAGCACTGGCACCTTCACATATCCTTCCCTCTATTATTTCCTATAAATTTTGAGAATCCCCTCCCAGTTTTTTCAAGGGTCGTGTATTTGAAAATCAAAAATATTCATAATGTTCGTATATTATTAGAAAACATCAGTAAAGCTTTTTTATCTTCTGAGCAAAATATGACCCGACACTGTATAATGATGGTATCATTAAATAAAGAAGGGCAATAATAAAAGGAATTGGCACACTATAATGCAGAAAAAAATCTAACTAAACGGAAAAGTACTTAAGGAGACAACTGGAATGATCTCAGGTACACCTGTGCGGTAGGTAAATCGACAAAAAGTCATTACCACCATATTCTACTAACTCACGCGGGTGCTCCCTAACCGTCTGCATCGTTTTGGATTTGATCAATGAACAAATGTGGTACAACATCCACCAATTAATTTAACTCCTCAGGTTTCTGATTCAAATTAGGCCTCGAGTTCGACCTCCTATTTTAAACATAACAATTAGCAGCGAGCTAAGACCAGTCTGATCACTACCAGTCGAAACCGAGAAATAAATGTTGTAATCAAGTTATGTTCACGACTCAACAATGCCATTTTAATTGGTCATAGCTAGCTACCAAGCAATTTTGTAGGTTTATTAAAACAAACAACCGGAAACTGCATTTTCTTCATCTATGTGTAGTCAGAAATGCATGTAAAGCGGTTCTAATAATTTCGAACTATTAATTATTGTGAGTGCAAGATGAAATAGAAACGAAGAAATTTACTGATAATAACAGAAAACCCAACGGTGTATATATGGGACAAAATTTAGGGTGAACAAGCACATTGCCTAGAGACCTTAAAATTTTAAAAACTACCACTTTTTTTTTAAACTATTATTTAAAAAAAAAAAAATTCAACATTTTTAAAACAGTACTAACATGAAGTAGAACATATCCTGTGTTTTATAGAAAGATATGATCAAATACAAAACCTAAGCACGCTGCTTGATATTTACAAATAAAACAAATGCCTCATATCAAACACTATGAAATGTGATAATCAATTCTGATACTATAAAATATTCGGCTGTTTACTCCAGAGTGACCAAAGAAATTATTTCTGAATTAATTAATCATGAAATCGGTTTGAAGCCATATTCTCACAGAGAACATAAGAAAACTATGTCTACTCCTCAAACCTTTCATGATGGAACTCAATAAAAAGTTTAAATATAGATATCCCTAATGTTAACATTTGATTCCTAAGTATTATTTTTGCCACCTGGATAATACATCGAAGCCACCTTTCTAACTGATAAATTAAACAACCTCAACCAATCGTCTTCAAAAAAGCAGAACCCATATCAAGCTTTGCTTCTTTTTAAGATCGTTAGTAGCAGTAATTACCATTCCATAAACAATACTCCAATCTGTTCATAGTGTGAGGCATAATTTTTAGTTCAGAAGTTAAAAAAAGTTTCAAATTCCAGTTTTAGATACAAGAAATCCAAAAAGTTTTTTTTTTTGCCGCCATGAAGCAAAACAACGCCTAGTTATTTCAGCCAATATCGAGATCGATCCTGCGCGTGAATAGAAATGTGTTAATGTAGAAGATCATGCCTTCTTCCATCAGTTATCTAACATTTGCCTCTGAACGATTTCAGCAGAAAACTGTTGTGCCTGACGTCGAACTCGTTTTTCGTACTCTACTCTAAAACAATATAACCATTTCAATCTGAAAGCTCCGAAATCTTTAACTGCACCATTCTTAAAAGCATTTGATCAGTTAGCTTAAACTAAGAAGCATGTGAAATAGTATTTACCATGGTTCAATTTCTATAAGCTTTACATATCAGTCTCTCTAATTGCTATACATAAAATTGCTCGCGTACTAATTAACATCATATCTTCCTGAAGCTACTGAAATGAAAACTGTAAATTTGTTCAACTGACAATCAGGAATAAAGGTTTACTGACCTATTCTGACAGTAAATTTGATAGGCATCGGCTTGAGCAGGATCATCAACATTCGGGTTTGTTAGAAGATCCTGAATGCCAATCAGGAGCTGTCGTACACTTATAGATGGTTTCCAATCCTGAAAATTAAAAACCTACCATAACGCAAACTGTAATATAATGAATGATCGAATTCACAAACTTTATTGAAATAATTATAATGTTTCAATAATTCCCTGAAAAAATACACCTCGTCATTCAGACACTCAGCTTTTGTTATATAGAATCGGTTGGTACATGTCCAAACAACATTAAATTTTTTGAAAATGAATTACAAGTTACATCGCTCGATTTTGTAAGGAAATTTAGCCCATCAGAGCTTAAAAAAAAAAAAATCGTCCTTTATCCTAACATGAAATACACAATTCATATACCAGCTCCACGTATGTGACCAAATCTACCGCGAAAAAAATCTTAGTTGAAGAATTATCACGAAACAAATACATAAAAGACTTCAAGCTAAAACGGTACATTTTTGAAATATATGCTAGGAAAATCTTTAAAAACTGACCTTATTCTCATCTAATATCGACAAACAAACGGTTCCTGATGGATATACATTCGGGTGAAATAAAGGAGGGTCGAATTTGCACTTCGGTGGTGTAGAGGGATAGTCATCTTTAAACTGCATCCTAATCTGCAATGATATTATAGTACCAGATGTTACAGTACCAGAATCAACTGGGAAATTTTTAAATGCAAAGCGAAGTAAACAGAACATCCCACTTTCAAAAAAAATTTAGATACGTATTCAATTTATTCAGCAAGAACTGAATACTTTAATCAAATTCAAACTGTATGACAACAGAATATTCCCTGGTAGTAATAAATATACCAGATAGAATAATGAGGACAGTACAAAAATTTCCGCTAAATAAGATTTCCAAACAGAAGTGAAAACAAAATAACAAAATTCGCCTTGTATAGACCGCCTTCCCATATAGTTCCTTTCTTGCCAGGAATGGCACATTCCCAGATAAAGAGATTCCTCGTGCCATCGGGATTTGACGAAGGTTTTGCTATGAAACCAAATGGATGGTTTTTCCTCCAGGCTTTCCGTTCTTCGGCTAAACGACCTGCAGCGATACCGCCAGACATTTGTATGGCTGTAAAAGTGTATTCATATATAAACCAGAACATCGAAAAAACCGAGAAAAAAAATTAAAAAGTGAGCCTAACATATGATAACACCCTTGATTTGCAATGTAACGCAAAAAATAAAATTTCTGTAATCTACATCTTATGAATCCTTGTCGTTGCGGAATGAGGACAGTATAACCGGAAGTATGCATATGTCGTGGAAGATTTCGAAACTTATTATTTTGGGAGAGGTTCTTGATTTCGGGGAGATTCGTTCGATGTAAAAGTAAATATATGGGGTATTGTGCGTTTTTACCAACAACCAGGAGAGTTCAGTTTCAATTATTCTCTATTAAATTATTGTACTATTGCTAATGCTAATAAAAGAATTATTACATTCCTCTGTTACCCCACATATTTACATTTACATCCAACAAATCTCTCCGAAATCAATAACCTCTCTCAAAATAATAATTAAAATTCGAAACCTTCCAAGACAAATTTTTGCTTCCACGATACCATATGAATGAAGTAAATACCTAAGACTTCCAGTAACCATCTTACTAATAATCAGTAATATATCCACGCTTATCTCATTACAATATTCCGAACTGATCAGCAACTACTCTCTTTGCAAAAATGATGTCTCCCGCTGGCCTAAGCTCATAGAAGATCCAATAGAAAAATAAAATGCCGCCCGGACAACCACTCAGGCAACACAACCCAAACAACACACAAATAAATCCTTATCCTTCCGGCAGAGAAAACTCGTCATCTCCGCTAGAATGAGACATCAAGAAACAAACAATAATCAGGAATTCCATTTAGGAAAAGCGAAGTTATTTAGGAGCACAGGATCGGTAGTGGGTATTTGAACTTTTTTAGGTGGCATTTATTCCTTCGTGTATTTAGCTGTTGGGTTTGCTGCAACATTGTCTCTCACATCATTCGACATATACCATTCTCGTAATATTTTCCTTCCTATCGCATATTCATACTTCATTTTGCTGCTTATTATACCATTGAACGTTATACTTCAATCATTGCTTATCTCTAATAAGTACAACATTCATTAAGCAAGACAGGTAATTACCAGGATTCCCAGGGCCACGCTGGTTTTAATGTCAGTATTACAGCATAGATTACAACCATGCATTCTTCATGCGAAACATAAAGCCAGATCTGGTGCGTTGAGTGTTTTGCTTTGGAAGTATAACGATGGTTTGTATTAAAAGTGCATTTTACGCTAGTATTTTTTTTTTGCTTTTTATTTGATAGTATTTAGAATTATTCGAAGAAGATTGGAGCAGCACGAAATATTGCGAAACATTTGAAACATTGAGTGAAAAGTTGACAGGAGATAATATTGAAAGGGTGGACGCTTCCAAAATTACTGTTGAAGAATTCGCTGAAAATTATGAGTTACGTCATGTACCTGTTGTTCTTACTGGTTTGACTACATGTTGGTCCGCGACTAGAAAATGGTCAATTCCTGTAAGAATACATTGGAATTTTTAAGTCGTTTCGCAATGGAATTTTTAAGTTATTTCGCTTATTCTGTGCTACGTACCTAGTTTTGTTGTTTCGATTTATTACAATAATTTTTATTTGCACTAAGCTTTTTACTACTTTAATCGCCACATTCATTCTTGAAATATTGATAAGCAAATGATGTAATGATTAAATGTACTTCTTACTTCTGTAGATAACTGCTGACTCCACGACAAGTAGAATAAATGTTTTAGGGGAAAAATATTCACTTTAGTTTTATATGTTTTACACTTATCGACACTGTCAGTTGATTACTGCATTGTAATTCATTTAGATGTTGCTAAAGAAATATCGGAAGCAAAGATTCAAATGTGGTGAAGGAGATAACGGACGTTCCGTGAAATTGAAAATGAAGTATTTTTTAGAATACATGAGACAAACGGTTGACGATAGTCCGCTCTATATATTTGATAGTACTTTTGGCGAGGTTTATAAATGAATTATTCCTTATTCTTCACTTGACTTTTACAAATTCTACCTTGATGCTACATTTCTTAAACATTTAATTGTTCATCCTCAACAAAAGCAATTTAATGTTTTGGTTTCAGCGGTACAAAGTAAGGCGTTTATTGGAGGACTACCATGTGCCACAGTTTTTTGCGGATGACTTATTTCGTTATGCGAGTGAGAATAGGCGACCACCATACGATGGTTTCTCATAGGGTCCTCCCGTTCTGGCACGGGATTGCACGTCGACCCATTAGGGACCAGTGCTTGGAATGCTCTTGTTAAAGGTTCCAAAAAGTCAATTTTATGTGATCGTTGATGTATACATCTCAACGTTTGATAGCCACGAAAATACGATAGTCGTAAAAAATGGGATTTTGAACATTTACATATTTTTGTGGCACCTTTGTGGGGTTCAGTAACTTGATAAGATAAGCCGTAACCCTTAATAAAAATATTTTTTTTTTCTAGATGGTGCTTTTTCCACCCGCAAACACCAAAAAATATCTTGGAACCAATGAAGAAAGAGGGTGGCATTCATCCTAATGAAGCAATCACCTGGTTTACTACTGTGTATGGACGAATTAGCTCCCCTAATTGGTTGGAACAGTGGAGACCCATAGAAGCTGTGCAGTATCCAGGAGAAGTCATATTTGTTCCCGGTGGTTAGTATTCACAAGCTTAAAGCATGCTATATGGATTTAGGAAGTTTGGCGTAAAATAATGATTTTCCATATTCAAATGCAAAATTTCTCACAGGATGGTGGCATGTCGTCCTAAACCTGACTGACACGGTCTCTGTCACTCAAAATTTTTGTTCCAAAGTGAATTTGCCTCTAGTTCTCCTCAAAACGTTGGCTGGAAGACCAAAATTTTGCCAACACTGGTTAAAATGTTTACGGAAGGCTCGACCAGATATCCTACCAATTATCGGTATTCTTTCCTTCTTTTATGCTGTTGAATATCCTATTAGCTCATAGTATACAAAATGACACAATTCTGCTAAGCTCAATTCTAATAGTGCCGCAGTCCCAAATAGTGAAGTCAATTCCAATAGTAAAATGTTAAAGCTCTTTTTATAAGGAATACTGAATTTACCAATTTTCTGTTTTCCATTGCAGATGGTGTTTTGAAGAATGTAGACGGTTTTATAAATTTCGCGGAATCATCATCCAATGATTCAAGTTCTTTAACAGAATCTTCTGACAGTGAAAGTGAAAGCCCAAATCCACCACTTCAACAGTATCCCTTTAGTATGAAATCAGCAACTATTACCAAAAGGTCCACCACTTTCATTGGATTCTTGAGTGCTAGATCTGTTAAAGACATCCGAATATTTTATGCTTTAAAATGTTTAATGATTTCAGGATCGTCCTGCCCTCAAGAAAGAGAGTAAGCGAAGTATGTGACAACTTTGTGTGTCCCGCAAAGATATATTGCAGTCCCGTGTAAATGGTCGAGTTACTAAGAAAACTGCGCATCTCATTTCTGTATAACCTCCCACTGGGACAGTTTTGTTCCATTATTTGTATATTTTCACATTCGAATTCAACATCTGTTGTTCTATAATTTTTTAATTCATAAAAGATACAAGTCATGGTGGACTTACTGTAAATGTAATTATATAATTAGGGGGGCATGGAAGCAGCAGAGAGGAAAAATAATACCTCATGAACGAAGTGGAAAGGAGTCTGATTTCAAATATAAACTGGATGCAAACACTGCAAGCATGGATTTTTACTTTATGATAAATATCCAATGAATTATAATTGAAATTTATGAATCAAGTGAACGGAATGATCAAAGTTGAGACCTGAAATATATAAAGCATACAACAAATTGTTACCTAAACTGCTCAAATATTACATCCGAATCATTAGGTTACATAATAATGTCTGGTTCTGGGACGTTCGTCGTTATTGCTTTGTGCGGTAATACTCTTGCACCATTCAAGTATAGTTCATCATTTACGACAACATCATCACCAATAACGCAGGTATTTTCAATCCGTACCCACTCACCAATTGAACACTACAAAACTATGGAAGCACTCATGAATCTCAAATGTTACATATTAAACTTGTTTTCAGCAAAGTATTACTTTTCTGCCGACAATACTACTGTTGATCCATGAATGAGTACGCACCATGCTATCAGATAAAATGGTACAGTGACGCAAACAAACACCGTTTTCAATCTTTACTCGTGGCCCTATCACAACATTGGGTCCTAAACAGAGAACGATAGAGATAAGTTGATAAGTCAACTGCATCCAGTAAAAAATGACTGGAAAACCCACTGAGTCATACATCCATCTGTATTCATTTGCAATCTAACTGGTTGATCAATGGGCAAAGTAGTTTAATAACACGCTGGACCTATCAAAAGCAAAACCAATATAACAGAATCTGTCAAGAACACTTCGCTGTAATTAAGGTAATTTAAAACAAACCTATCCTGCAATCACGACCAATAACTGCAGTCTCATCCACAATCACATTCCCATTTATATAACTACCCTGAGCAAGCAATAATGGCGACTTGTCGCGAAGGTATTTCAAGTACAAACGCATACCTATAGTAATAGGAGTCACATCAAACAGTTTAAAAAGCAAAACTGGCTGAGAACCATGTAATATTAAATAAGACGTAGAAAAAGTAAAGGGTAACGATGCTAGAAGGATTCTGAAAATTTGAAAAAGACTCAGAAATGCATAATACCACGTTTAGCATGTTACAACATGAAACGATAGATGTCAAGTATTTCAGCATAATTCTGCGTTGAAGCAGAAGAAATCCTCACCAGTCAAGAAATCTTTTGGTTGTCCCACATCCATCCAAAACCCTGATAACTCAAATGCATATAATTCGCCATATTTAGCCATTTCCGGGAAAACTTCTTTTTCAATAGACGTTGGGCGTAATGATATTCGATCTAGTACAGACGGAGAAAGAACGTACAATCCAGCATTGATCTAAAATTATTTTTTCAGCTCCCATATTTTCATGAGAGAGGATGAATCAATTCCAAAAATATACAATACTGGAAAAACCTTGTTTCCAACATATTCCTCCGGTTTCTCAACAAAACTGTCTATTTTTCCAGTCTTTTCATTGAATAAACAGACACCATATTTGCTTGGTTCTTCAACCTAAAACACACAGCACTCTTCAATGTGCTGTCCAGAAAGAAAACATAAAGTATGGAAATTTCTTTAATGTTTTCATATTAAAAGATTAATGAAGAAACAAGAACACTTGAATCAAAAAGTACCTTGGTTACAGCGATGGTTCCTTCATGACCGTGATCCATATGAAACTCAATCATCTCGCGAAGTGGGAATTCACAAATAATGTCAGAATTCAGCACAAAAAATGGTTCATTTCCTTTTAATCGATCTTTTATCAAAGCCAGTGGTCCAGCTGTACCTAAGGGCACGTCTTCCACTGAGAAGTCTATCTCAATACCTAAACAACTTTATAAATGGAATCTTCAAAAAATGAAGCTGTAACTTAAATAAAAGTGCACCAGCCTGAAACAAAAGTAAGTTACTTACATCTTTCGATCTCCGATCTTGTTAATTAACTCGTTACATCGTTCATCAATTTCGGTGAGGAATTTATGTAAATGTAACTCTTTTTCTCTTTTTTTTGATGTATTGTGTAAACTCTGAAGCAGTTTCTACACCTTCACTAAATAACGCTAAAATTTATAGTCTTTTTTTTTGAAAGTAAAAAGATGCAAAGAATGGTACTAATTTCAATCTAAATAAATAAAAAGTTTGTTGAAACACATCAAACTGAAAAAAAAAAAAACTGGTATAAAGTACTAAGTTGGTCAGCATACTGTTTCATTTGTTGTTCCAGGAGTTCTGCGCGATAGCTGACAGCTAGTATCACAGTGTCAACACCAGCAGCCACGAGTGCTTCCATCTATAAATCATGACATTGAACTACACTGAAGTTAAGAAATAACTTCAGCAATATCCTTCATTTATGTCTTCGCAAAACTAACAAAATCGGGCATGTTTTTTATACCTATCTGTTGCTTACTATTCCCTCATTTTTGTCTTTCCCATGTTTGGCTTCCGCATTGACACATGAAAATAGGACAAATTATTGACATTACAAACCCTCTATTACGACTTTACGAGCATTACTTCAAAAACCCTTCTACTTCGAATTTGATTACAATGCCACATTAAGCACAGAATCTACCATAACTCTTTTGCCAGAAAAAAAAAATCTTTTACGCCAACTTTTGAACAAACTAGCTCATCGAAGTCGGCTGAAATCGGTCCACTATCAAAGTACAGGCATATACAGAGAAACCACAAATTCAAACTGACGAAGACTCTAGCACTGGATGACTTAAACAAATTATTTCAAAAAGAAGGGCCTGAATCTTCCACCTGATGAAGCATCATCGGCTTATTAGCAAATTCGACGAGCGGTTTTGGTTGGGTAAGTGTTAATGGTCGTAACCTTGTGCCATATCCGCCAACAAGTATTACTGCTTTCATTCTGTAACACTTCCATAATCTTTCAAATTCACACGGTCATCAAGTTATAGTAAGTGATGGGCACAAAATTAAACATGTGGTAAACAATACAAGACTGTTCAGAAGGAGAAAAAGTTGTAATGGATCGGTAATGGAATCTTCAAGCCATCACCAGTTAAAAAATGGAATATCAATCGTAAAAAGCAACTGAAACATAGTCAAATAAAGATCGCATGTGAACTACCACTGCTTCTCTACTTTGATCGGAAGTAGCTGTAACATTATCCATTTACATCTATTTTATGCATAGTGTCTGAATTAATACTTCGACGTTTTACCTTATATATATATACCTTAAGTATGATTTGAAGGACAATAAGCATCATTAGAAAGGTAGAAATTAGCTCAAACATTAACTCTTATGTGTGTATTCATATAATGCTGTTAACATTTTCCTAATTCTACGATCGCGTAATACCACGTTTTGGCACGAACCTGTTAGAAGATATGAGAAATGTTTTGTGCGTGTACGTCAAGCAAGGCAAGTTACAAGTGGATTTTTCGCAGGAGACTGATACTGGGACTTTCCCTTCCTCACCTAACAATCCCAAGTAACCAACAAATACCTTAACCTGGAATAATCCCCAGCACCCTTAAGAACAAACCACGTCAAATAATTAGCGCAATTACGGTAAGTCCATCTCAGGACACATAGCGTCAATTATAGCTTAAATCTGGTATGTGTGAAAAAGGTTGGAAAAATGGGGTGTAGTAAAGTTTGACCTGTTAGGGCATCTCATCATAAATGTGTTATTTGCAGAAACTACGAAAGGTGTATTTTGCAATGCAGCGTTACTGGAATACATGCAGCAAATGCAGTATGCGCTGCAGTGATGGCTATCACTTTGAACAATGAGTGGATCACGATGATAATGCCCGGAGGAATGTCGGTGGTACCTGTTAGGAACGGGTCCCTGTCCTTTTTTCCTGCAAGATTCACTTTTCCTACATCCAGTTCGCTATTTATCCTATGCCATCTCTCTCCTCATCTTATTCCATCTTCCCTCTTCCATCTTGCATCTCCATCTGTCCACACCTCGCAAATTCATTATTAGTTTTAGGAGAATGTAAAGTGGATTGACCCTTTTCCCTTTCATTTTCAATCTCCAATAAGTAGCACCCTACCGTAAAATTGTAAAATAAGAGTTGGTTGAAGGGATAAAGTTGCCGCAACCAGTCGCAAAGTAACGAACGGTCTATTTGGAGATTCAGCTGTCCCCAATTTTGTAGACGTTTCTGCCTGCTGGCAATACATTATTATTCTTTGATATGCAAAGGAACATACATCCAAGGACCGCCTTTCTTCCATCCCCCTTTCCGCTTCTGAATGGCATTCAGCAACCCTAAAAGTTTTTCCGTACTGTTCTGAAATGACGACGAGTAGTTCTGTCACACATTAAGTGTTAGACGAAAAGACAAGGGTGCTAACCCGCAGGTGTAAGTGTATCCTCGTGAATGTCACTAAGAAATCCTGGAAGAGTAAGAAGTCAGATGGTTGATATTGCTGTTGCTAAATCAAAAAAGAAATGTATATATCATGTACACATATATATCTATATCTACATAGATATGTGTATATGTATAATGTACATAAATATAATTTGAAATGTATGGAAGGCACTAAACCCGAGTGGATATCTATTGGACTGCACTCTGAGAAAATGTACACTACAATGCGTATTTTTGTTTGGAAAAGTGTAGGGGTGCAGTGGTGGAAGGATCTATGATGTGCCGCTGCCGGCGGGAGTGCCTGCGTCATGCCAACCGATTATGGCCTATATTCCCCTACGGCACTTTCACTTTTCACGATTCACCCCGACACAACAAGATCACGGATTTGGTGCTCTCAGGACCCGATCCCTCACCGGTTTCACCCCTCCCACCAATCCC